CTTACTCGAAGCTTCGTTCATTACTTAAATTAGTCTTTTCTCTGCAGCCAACCTATAAGCACCTCGTCTAATCAGCTGCTTGACCTTGTTGCCTGAAGATGCTCAGTGCTGAGCGAAACGCGCCGCAGGATTTACATAACCTTCCATTTGGACAAATTTTAAGACTTGTTGACCCTATTTCTGTACCATTTATCAGAAAGCTTGAGAAATTAAACTCAAAAGAAGTTCTCAATAAAACTGGCATTATTTTTAACCAAACATTTCTAAATGAAGGGCTCTACCTTAAATATACAAATTTCACACATTATAGCAAACAAAATATCGACCTCTTACCCATAAGAAATCAGTGCAGGATAAGTGCAATCAACTGGACTGGATTGTTAACAAGAAATCGAGAGCTCACTGAGCGAAGGCACTCATTTATTCCCATTCATAAGAAACTGATCTGACTTTATGGAATCTACTGTATCAAATTATCTACTGTATCTGACTTCATGGAATCTACTGTATCTAATCATCTACTGTATTTACCTTCATCCCTAACAAAATTCGGGGTATGTTTCAGCCTCTGCCCCAGAGTTGCTATGTTCGCGTAAGAGTTTTTCTGGGTAAGTTGGCAAACTGATCGCAATCAGCGACTATTCAGAACCTCCTTGCCGACTTTATAGTTTCTTGAGAGTAGCGCAAGAGTTGGCAGAATAAGTACCAGGCGCTTGCAGCTGTCTGATTCGGGGACCGGAATGTAGACCGAAAAGCGGACATATATAGGGAAGCGGGTGGACTATGCTCCCCGAGTCCTAGGGTTCCTTAATCCAGAGCCGCCCTCGGCGCTAAATTTTGTTAGGGATGGAATCAAAACTTTATGAGTTAACTAGTCCCTCAAATCATACGTGCCGTCAGACATGTACGGGCTACTGACATCTCCCTAAGTGATGGAACATTTACCTTCGGCAACGTACGCGGTGTAAGTGAAATCTGTTAAAAAATCTTTTTAATATCGTATTTTTCGCATTTAAAACATGAAATCAATATAAACGCTTATTCTTTCTCCCTTGGTTCATAGCTGCTTCCCATTTTTTACTTCTCTGATTTAATTCGGCAGCTGCACGAGAGTCAAAGTGCGATTGTAGAGTATAAATCCCAGTTGTACGTCACCGCTGTACGTCGTGGCCGGGGTCAAGTGACGCGAGTTTGCCCATTAGTTGTGCAACTATAACAGCGCTGTACGGTGAAAGATTTCGTCAAAGAAATTATTTAAATATAAAATGAAGCCTCCATAGTCCGGAATTGTTTAATTGTTTGTTTCACGTGTACCAATGGCGACCGTTTCATCGACAAAACCGATCATCAGCTGAATGACTCATTATTCTATATCTCATATAAATGTTCAATGGATGCAGTAATTGTTGAATGCTAGACAGGTTTTTCGTCTGACACATAATCTTGTTTTGGAATTTCGAAATTTTAACTATAATACATTAATGCATGCATTGTGTCAGGCTCAACGGACGCCCACAACGGTTACTGGTTGGGGGCCACCAGCCCGGCGCCCAACCACGTCTGGCAGTGGAGCGACGGCACGGCTCTCCAAATGGGCGCTCCTTACTGGGCGGCTGTGAGTGGATCATATTTTTGCCAGTATTTTTTCATAATCGAAAGATTTACAAGATCAATAAAAATAAATGACAAGTTTAGGTTAATTTTGAACTGGTCTAGCAGGATATTATATCATGCTTGAACGAAACGCACAGGGTCATTTAAATCTTCCCTTATTAATACATACATAATTTTTATTACATGCTATCTTTGCAAAGTGCATCTAACGTGTAACGAATATTTATTAAACGTCGTTACGGAACCGACTTGTAATTTATCCTTGGTTCCTCATCCCTTACCTTGTGGGACCGAAGTGTACGTGCGATGAAGTGGAATTTATCTGTCAAGTTCATACGCGCATTTGTCAGAAGTGATTTAAAGAAATTTTACTGGGAGCTCGTACAACTCAATCCATTGAGAAAGCATGTAATGAGATAGCATGTAATAAAATGATATATTCAGGTGAGACATTGGAATTAGGATGTAAAACAGGGCTGCATTCTAGTTCTACATAACATTTAGCTATATCAGGAAAAATATGCTTTCTTGTGTTTTTATTTGTACAGATCACATTGCTGATATTTCAGCCTTCCCGTTGCTCTTAATATATTGTTTCGTCAGGGTACACCTGCTATTTATATTGTCATTATCTGGTACATGTCGTTCTCAATATAGCATGATCTCTCAGAATACCAGAGACATCAAAAGAGAGCCCCATGGCGGGACCGGCGAAAACTGTGCTCACATCAATCCTGATCGGGGCTGGTCAATTCATGATTTCGCTTGTGACAGATCGAACGTTTATCCTGTGTGCTCCATTCTTCCTGTGCATGGTAAGTATTATGCCTTGTGTACTGGAGACGGCTTTAATTCTCTGCTAATGTAGCGGCAATCGTCTGAACTCCCTAATTTAAATTATCTTGCATTCAATGTAATATTTTGTTATGGTTATTATTAGGAAGTTTATCAATGTATGATTAAGCTATTTTTCAATTATGGAATGGAAACTTTGAATGATAATGAGAAACAGAAATATAAAATGCTCCTGGCTAGTGACAACTGGATTTTTTTCTGGCACTGCCTTAACCCATTCCTCTCAAATTAAATTTGTTAATTTTTCGAGCTTTCTCAAAAGATCCATATCTTTTATTAAACTGTGAGTAGTTATATTTCAAGACAGTATATACAAGGCGCTCGGCTACCCCACAGCAAAATTTCTTTTAATCACTTCCGACCAATGCGCGTATGAACTTGACCGATTAAATTCCACTTCATCGCACACTGCGGTCCCACAAGGTAAAAGACGAGGAACCAACGATGAAATTACAAGTCGATTTCGTCGGAACGATGTTCAATATATATTCGTAAAACGTTAGATGCACATTGCCGAGGTGGGTTACAGTTTATCGCACGATATTTTATACAAAGTTTAAATAAGTAAAGTTGTCTCTGTTATGCACTTTATCATTCATGCTTATGCATTAATTAAGTTATCGTTCTCACTGGATTTTTGAAAGGTCAACATAACGTTTACATGTTTTTCACTATGTGATGTCAGTAAGTTCTTTATATCATTAGTCTGCCTAAATCGCAATTTCTCCAATTGAATTCACATACTTTAATTGAATCAATGAATCAATGGTGAATTTACTTGACATTTTCTTTGCTTCTGAATTCTCGGAAATTTTAAATACTTGGTTAGTAAATTGATTTTGTCATCACTGGAGCTCGTCACGCAGTCAGTGTGGATTGACTGGCGGAGATCTGATCATTTTTGATGACTGCGACCAGTACCGCAAGGTTAACCTCTATATCACCGAGCGAGGTAAAAATCTACCAGATTGTTATAATATTTTCACCATTAATTCAAACACAATTAAACCTGATTGACTAATGTTCGATAACCTTCAATCTTATCTGTTAAGTGGATAAATAAAGATAGGTATTGGTTATTTTTCAACGAAACGCTAACTTATACTTAGAATGAACTTTAATAAAATAAATTCATATTTTCATAATTTGTAATTTATTTTAATTTTCATATTTTTTTAATTTTTATAATCAGTTATCTGATTTACACAGTAATCACATTTCAAGTTAATTAAGAATTCAGGCATTTAAATGAAGAAAAGCTTTCTTCTGCTTAACTTTGATCATTAATATTCGCATTTGAATGTCTGGCATAATTTCATAAGTGAGATGAAACTTGAAACCCCGTAACTCATTTCGGATGAAAAAAATTTTCCTTTACAAGGTTACAGCCCTGATGGGTATTGGATCGGTGGATCTGACTGCGCCCTGGAGGGACAATGGCGCTGGACTAACGGTTCTCCGATGGTCATGGGGCTTCCATACTGGGGAATTGTGAGGAATTTAGTTCATAGTATTTATTCCATTTAAATGAAAATGTGTGAAGTGTGAATTTTATTTGATTGAATTTTTCTGAGCAACTTAACACGAAGCAGTTTGGCAAAATCAGCTGCTTGGCTACGAAAAAGCAATGCTAGCACCCCTAAAGTTTTTTAGCTTAATCAAAGGAACTGCGAATTCAAAAGAAAAATACAAAAAAAAACTAAAAAAAATCATATCCTAGTTGCAATAATGCAATTTGTTTTTTCTATCTTGAAGCTGCCGCTGATCCTTACCGAGCGCAATAAGCACCATATATAGAACCCGATGGAAGTCTAGTAGCTATTTCAAACTATCGTAAGCTTTGATAAGATCCGGTCGAAGGACCTATTTTTTAATCTCCTTTAAACAAGTTAAGGAAGGTACAAGAATCGGCGACAGGCCACATCAGGCCTATTCTTCAGCGCCGACATCACTATGATATGATATTACTATGATGTAAACTTTAGACTAAGGCTTTCACTAATCAAAATCGCAGCCCTAAAATCACATGTTGACAGCTACAATCACAGTTTAAGCGTCCGGCAGCTTCTGGATCAGATCGTCGTCATAGATTCGTCATACGCGTATATTCGGGCCATGTCCGCGTTTTGTTCTACTTTACCGAATGAAATGAGAGCCTATTCTCTCGTCAATTTCCTGGCACTTGTCGAGTTTTTGTTACAGACTGCTGCAGTTAATCGGACATACGTGTGCAATTAAGGGGACGGCGCACTTAACAGGACATTTATTATAGGTTCTCAATATATTTATTGACATCAGTCTTGCAGAGTCGAGACCAAATAAGCAACATGTGACTCATAAGTGGCCATAAAAACCGTTAGACCGACTAGTTTCCTCCAAACACTTGCTCAAAAATAAAGGACCTTACCCTCTTAAATTAATTATGCATTTATAATTATTTCAAGGCATTTTCAGAAGGGTATTCTTGTTCCAATGATGTGCACATTACTAACTCATGAGGTAAATTCAAGACCTTCGGAATGCTCAATGATTAAATTTTGAATTGTCTAGGAAATGATTCCTCCAGTTTAGTGTTGACAAAACTTTTTATATGCATCGTTTTAACAAATGTGATGCTTTACCATGAACAAGTAAATTATATGTATTCATTTCAAAAGTTAGCACGAGTAAATATTGACCCTGTTCTTTACAGCTACGAAGTGTGGCTTAATGATATAATGAACCTCACGTTGATTGTAACATTAATTGGAATACTGATCTCGCATTGGGACGCTTATTTAAATTACATTGCGCTCTATTTATCGCTCAACTATAGAGAAAAATCTGTTTAACTTATACATTTAATAATCATTAAATTGTACGTGTTATATAAACACATTAAAAGGGGTAAAATAATTGAAACCTTTAGTCTGGACGACAATGAAAGTAATTTAATTTTCTGTAAAGGTGAGCCAAAATTTTCCAGGAAGAATGATTTATATTAATACTATACAGCTCCTCGAGCGTAATCGAACAGATATATTAAAAGTTAGAGATGTAGGTAAGCATAAAAATTGTCTTGAATTGAAAAAAAATACCCACTGGCATCATAGAATGCGAAGAAAAATGTCTACCTTCTATTCCTTTAATTTAAAATCTTGCCTCAGACTGGCGAAGGAACACTAGAACCTGACCAACCTGGCGTGGAGAACTGCCTGGAACTCAGCACTCTGTGGAGGTACCGCTTCTCCAACACGCAGTGCACCAACACGCGACGGGTGATTTGTGAGGCTCGTCCTTTGTAGAGGCATTCTGTCCTTGCATGATTCGCAACTAATCGTAAAAATACTCCTCGAAATGTCTTCCATACGAAAATACTACAGAAATCTTTTTAACATAAATAACAACCTATGAGTCTTAGATTAATCGGCCACTTTTCAACCGGATGTGGTTTGCAACAAAATGGGTGGTTTTCACAAAAAAAAGCAAGCACCCTGTCACAATCATTACCTTCATTTTAGTGCTCTGCGTCGTTACAGACGGATTGGATCAGGTAATCTCAAGGTGTTCAGATCGCACCTAAGAATTCTTCTGTGAAAATTTTCTGGTGACATCACGTCTACAATAAAAAAATTAACTACAATAAAATATTTCGTGTGTGTAAAATTAAATGCATAATAAAAAATATGAGCTTAAAGCGGCAGCCATTCATTTCCCGATAAACATAATTCGAAACTATCTTTTTACAGCATCATGCCTTTCGTTACTCACAAAGGAAATTATTCTGTGAGTGAAATGAGCACATGCAAATATCTTGGTTTAAAGCTCAATCTTCTCAGGTTACAATTGCCGTTGTGGAACACACGTTAAATTTACAAAAATGAAAAGCAAATACCGTAAACATATCATATTAGAAGAGAATTTCGCGTGAAATTAATTAAAAAATTATTCATATCAACAAACGAGCTCCTCAAATTACAAATATACACGAAGGTTGCACACGTCGGTTGCACTGCATTTTAGAGTATAAAATACTTAGTACAAAAGGAAATGTATCATATTAGACAAATATTCTAATAAATAAAACGCATCAACAACGTTAGCCATTTATTCACATCTTGGCGCATTATTTTACTATCCTTCTTACATTTATATTACACATGCTGTAGGAGATATCCATTTTGTTGTATTGGAATAATACGAATTTTAAAATTAAACGCAAGAAAATACAGCCGGAGGCAACTTTTTGTATATGTTATCATGTTTTATATTGCTTCTGGAGAGGTGATATATGTTTAGTTGATTGGGTTTGATGTTTTCTTGATGTTTGATGTGAACTGTTTCACGTAGGAGATTGTTCAGTGTTTGATGACCATTGGCAACATGCCGATCACTTGCTAATAACAATGTTCACTTTGTCAATGAACTGCATTAATACTGTAAAATTATTATATCGCTTCACAAATATCGCTTCACAATATCACAAAATTGAAAACATTGTGTTCAACCGAACATCGAAGCAGAATCTTGTTAAATCTGACTTGACTGGTTTGACCGGATCGATTGTTCGACCATTTGGGTATAGGACTGGGAGAAGACGCTCACAAATGGTAAGAAAAGCATTAAACTAATTGACAACTAATCTGCCCATTAGATCTGGCGCTATGAAAAATCCATTTGAATTAAAATGTTATATTAAGATTTAAACATGACACAATCATGGTACGAAGACGGAAGAATTCGCCGTATCAGCTTTATTTGCTTAGATAAGAAACACGATGTCAAATCTTCAGCTTAGATCCCTCTATCTGTTTTACAAGCCGTGATATGGTAAGCCACATATCGCGGGGTAAGTATCTCTTTCATCACAAGTTCATCGTAATCCAGAAGATAAGTTTTTAATTTTTAAATTAAGAACTAAATTATTAAATTAAATGCTCAAAAATTTACGACATGAACACCTATTCTGAACCCCCTTGCTGACTGCATTTAATTATTGTTGCCTATTTATCTATGCCAAGCGGTATTTTTTCTCTGCTAATCAGCACAGGCAGGTCGCCGACATGAAGTTTCTAGAAGATGGGCAGTTTTCAGTGTCATGTTCATAGTAGCGCAGTCGTGGCTGCAGCAGTTTGTACAGCCTTCGACGACAACTGCTCTAAATTTTAGCGCGTATGGAACCAAATTCTGAACAGGATAGTCGAACAAGTGTCGTAACTTAAATGAATTGATTTAGCCTTTGATTCGTTCGCAACTCATTCTAGCTGTTAAAAGTAAGAATGAACAAAACTAGCGTTTTATTTCCATTTCGTCTGGAATGAACGATTTTATTCGAACTGCTGCACAATCTAACTATAATTTAAAGCGATTGAAAATCCAAGAAGGCGTATATTTTCACTCAACCTTGAAACTCCTTATCATTAGTAGTATTTAAGTGATTTTACTATAAAAGATAAAATTTACCTTATCTGTTGTTGTTTCACTGATGGAGAGTGATAAGCCGTTACAGATAGCAGACGCATACAGTTAGCTTTATAAAGATGACGGAGTCTTGCAAGCGGAAGTTCTCTATTGGATGCGTTCTTCATGTTTTCCAAGTGTTGCTATAGAAAGCTTGGAGGGAATAATTTTACATAATGAGACGATCTAGAAGAGAAAATACGGACCTAGACGAAATTGAGAAGGGGGAGGGGACTCCGCTGAACAGTCTTTCCGCCGATGCCCCTCTGCCAAACACCCCGTGAGTATTGAAGGCATCCACAAATTTTCCTTTCCACGTCATGTTTTGTCTCCTCACTTTCGTTGGAAGGTCCGTTCAGTAAATAAAACGTTCGCTAGAGCCCAATTTTCGAATGGAATATATGTTTAGTAGTACCTCGTTTTCCGACCACCATCCGTTTCATGCGAGTGGCCGAGAACCAATATGGATTGAAAAAGAAATTCATTTTTCCCATTTATTAATGGGTTTCTCCAAGAGTCCTAAAACCTTATATTGGCATCGTTTTCTCATAAATGACTGATCCACACATATTCTCACTTGCTAAATCTTTCTCTTTAACGAAGATAAGGCAGAGATTCTTATATTTAATTCTTGATTATTTTAGACTTCTTACGGTTTGATAATTCTGATGCAACATTGTTGGCCTTCATTGCAACATTCTTCGCAATAAAATTCTAGATCGTCAGTATTCCATTCTATTCCGCGAGTCCAAAGATATTTATAACTCTTTCATGTTTGACAAAGATTTTTTATCAAGTTAAATAGAGATCTTCCAATTTCGTTTTTTTAGTACAGTATAACTGAATGCTTCCTTAAAGCCCTTCTGTTGAAATAGGGGTATAATGTCCAAAACAAAGTGAAGAATAGGCAAACACGGGGAGTGATTCTTCCTCCGATTGAAAATTTACCAATACTGAAGTGTGAGACGTGCGCTGGAACAATCAACAAAATTTCGAACCTGTTTCGAAAAACCATGTGAAAATTTTCATTATTTTTTGTGTTGGATATTGGTGTACACTTTACAGTGAGATGTAGGTTAATTGTAGCATTCATAAGTCGTGATACCTGAATTTCAGCGGTACTTTCCGAACGTCGAGAATGTCTTGCGTGTATGGTTGTTGGATACGGCAAAAGGTTCAGTTGTAGCTTCAGTTTGATTAACATGAATAAAATCTAATTTAATACGAGTCGGTCATTCATAAGAAGAGACAAGCATGATGACGCATTGTGAAGCATAAATTCGATTTTTTTTTCTGGTGAGCAGGCCACAGGAAAATGAGATTACCGGTGAAACAACACAACCACAACTGATGAATTCGCATGCCTACTCTGACGATGAGATCCGGGAGCATCTTCTACTGCACAAAACTGTATTAAAACATGGAAAGCGAGCACACGGACACTTGAAACGCCTCTTGTCATTCACAACAGATGAAACTGTGTTTCAGCTAGACGACAGCGGCAGAACTGTCCTTCAATTGACCATTGAGGAGGGATATGATGACTGTGCTAAATTAATAATTGCCAGATCATATGCATCGCTCGCTCAAGGGGTTGGGAACAACCCAGTTAAAATTTAGGGCAGGGAATAGAGCAGGCCGTCGCCGGCTGCAGAGCCGGCGTAGAGACGCGACAGAGCAGCGATAGAGCAGAAATGTCCGCTTTAGAGACGATATCGCCAGCCGCGTATCAGCGCTAATTAGCTTCTGAGTACCTGCCCAGGTGTGCTCTG